CCCCCCCCCGGCATGCCCAGGACCCCGCGGTGACCCCCCCCGGCGCCCGCAGGTGGTACGGACAGGACCACACGTGCGAGGACTACCACCCCGTGGGCTCGCACTCCTGCCGCATCCCCCGCGACCTGGCCCTCTTCACCCCCTACGAGATCTGGGTGGAGGCCTCCAACCGCCTGGGCTCGGCCCGCTCGGACGTGCTCACCTTGGACATTCTGGACGTGGGTGAGCCCGGGGGCTTCCCGGGACCCCTCGCTGGGGGGGGCATCCTCCCGCGGTGTGTTCCCCTCCCCCCCCAGGGCTGCAGCTCTCCGCCTGTCTGGTGGTGGTTGGACAGCAGCCCCCGCCCCTCCCTCAGCCCAGGCCCCTCCACTAAGTCAGGGAGGACAGCCCCCCCAACACCTGGCCAGCCGCCTGGCCCCCTCCCCGGCAGCCCAGGTGTGCCGGAGGGGACCCAGGGGAAGCAGGGGGCGGCGCCCAGGTCGGGAGGCTCCCCAGGAAGCTGAGGCCTGGAGCTGGGGGTGAGGGTGGAGGCAGGAAGTGGATGATCTGCGAGCAGAATTGGGCCTAATCTAATTAGGGTGAGTCTCAGCCCCAACCGTCCCGCTTAACCCTTTCAGCCCCGCCCCAGGCCTGTTCTCAGGCTGGGGTGGGGGAGTGGGCGTCCTGGGAGTATTGGGGTTTGAGGGGGGCTGAGTGTCCCTGGGCCACAGCTGGTAACTCCCTGGGTAGGAAGACAACCCCGGGAGGGGGGGGTCACCGGCCGTGCGGTTTGGTGGGCCAGGCACGGCTCCCCCTCCCAGCTGCGGCCCCCCGGAGAGCGGATGATGTGCTTCCTTCTGGGTAATCCGGGTGGTCACAGCTCACCTTGATTGGGTTCTGGCAGGTGCTGAGTGTCCACACAGGCCACCAGCGCCACCAGCCTGGGGCTGGGCCCCTGGGGAGCCGCATCCCGATCCGCCAGTGGGCATCAGTAACCAGGGCCTGTCCTGTCCTGCAGTGACCACTGACCCCCCACCCGACGTGCATGTGAGCCGCGTGGGGGGCCTGGAGGACCAGCTGAGCGTGCGCTGGGTGTCTCCGCCTGCCCTCAAGGACTTCCTCTTCCAAGCCAAGTACCAGATCCGCTACCGCGTGGAGGACAGCGTGGACTGGAAGGTGCCCGGCTCGCCATTCCTCCCCAGCCCCACAGTGTCCCTGCCCCAGACCTCTGACCTTGACCTCTGTGGGGGAGGGGCAGGTGGTCGATGATGTCAGCAACCAGACCTCCTGCCGTCTGGCTGGTCTGAAACCCGGCACAGTGTATTTCGTGCAAGTCCGCTGCAACCCGTTTGGCATTTACGGCTCCAAGAAAGCTGGGATCTGGAGCGAGTGGAGCCACGCCACCGCAGCCTCCACCCCCCGGAGCGGTGAGCCCCCCCCAAGACCGGCCTGGCCCCCCTCACTGCCCCAGGCTGGTGTCCCGCACACATGACCAAATGTCCTCCGGCAGCGCCGCTTGCGGGGTGAAGGCCCTCAGCACACCTCCCCCTTCTTCTGCGGTGCTGGCATTGAACCTAGGGCCTTGGGTTTATGCTCTACCCCCTGAGCTACATGCGTGGCCCTTATTGTTTTTGTCCATTGTGGGGCTTGAGCTCTGGGCCTGGGCGCTGTCCCTCAGCTCTTCAGCTTAAGCCTGGTGCTCTACCACTTGAGCCACAGCACCACTTCTGGTTTTCTGGTAGTTTATTGGGGTTGCGTCTTATGGGGACTTTTCTTCTTTTCTTGCCCGGGCTGGCTTTGAACTGCGATCCTCAGATCTCAGCCTCCTGAATAGCCTGACTGGTGTGGGGTTTTTGAGTCCTGCAGCTCAGCCTGGAGCTCCCAGTGCTCGCGCTTCAGCCTCCTGAGTGCAGGAAGTAGAGGAGGCCCCAGCTTGGGGTCCCAGTGGACCCCAGCTTTAGATGAAAGTAGGGGTGGGGCTGGAGCTGACTTGCTGCACCCTCTGGGGTTTCTCCAAGCCTCCGGACCCCCACTCTCTCCTTTGTTAGTGGGAGGGGATCAAGCCTTGGGAAGCTTGGACTCAGGTTCCCCATCTGGGGGGTGTCTGGGGTCCCTGTCTCGGGTATCCTGAGGATTGAAGCTGTACAGTACCCAGGAGGGCCCTGGGGCACGGGCCACCATGGCGTGTGGAGGTGGGAGGTAGGGAGGCTTTGGTCCCGTTACACTCCCCTCCCCCGTCTTTGCACTCCGAGGGAGCGCCCCCTTTTCTCCCGTGAATCTGCACCCCGCCAAGGCCACACAGGAGTGGGAACTGTGCTGTCCAGGGTCACGCGACAGGAGCTGGAGGAACTGAGGCCCATGGGTAGTTGCAGAGCTGGGAGGGGCCGGGCCTGGGCCGCCAGCCCCCTAGCCCCCCTGCCGGCCCCTGCGGCTCGGCGGGGAGGGGCCCGGCCTTGGCCCCCGCTTGTGCCCAGCACCTGCGATTCTTGCACGGGAGCCAGGAGGCTGCTGCGTCCGCCGAGGAGGCCAGGGGGGAGGCTGGGGGGAGGCTGGGGGGGCAGGGGGAGAGGTGGGGGGTGGAGGCCCGGCCGTGCCAGGGCCTGTCAGCGGGTCCCCAACTTTATTTATGACGTGTGGCCAATGTCCTTATCTGGGGGCCTGCGTGGGGCTGGCCGGGCCGGGCTGGGCTGGGCCTCCCACCTGGCCGGGCCTTCGCAGTGGCGGGGGCTCCCTGGCTGTGCTGGTCCCCCCGGGGTCCCCCGGGGCCCGTCTCCCACACTCCCCCCCTCCTCCTTTTTTGTTTTCCTTCCTTTCTCCTTCCTGGCGGTGTTGGAGGTAGAGCCTAGGCCTAGTCCTGTCCCCCTGTCCCCAGGGTCTGTCTGTGCGCCCCCCTGCACCCCCACATCTGTCCCGCCCGCCTGCCGGTCCCACCGGAGTCAGACCCCCTTTCCCGTCCCCTCCCCCCCCCCGCAGCCCGCATCCACACCTGGTTCCTGGAGGG